TGAATGAATGAATGAATGAATGAATGAATGAATGAATCTCTTTCTCTCTCTCTCATACACACACACACGCACATCTAACCAGCAAAATAACCAAATTTACCTCCCCCTCCCCCTGATAAAGTAAATCAACCATAGCCAAAATCATCATTAATTCAACTCAAAAGGTCTGCTGAACAGAAAAGATGTGTAGAACATGTTATGACCCTCTGAGCTGGTATCCTTTAAACTCTTGTTCTAGTCTGTTGTTTGTTGAGTTCTGAAGCTCTGAGTTTGAAGGAGTTGATGAAAACAAGCTTATTATTGCTGAGATGTTCATCGCCTGTTCTCATTTATTATACTGTCTTTTAACCAGAAAAATAAAAGCTAGTGCAGATGGAAAAATACCCACATTGGAAGCTGATAATTGTGAGCAGGAAGAAAAATCCACACATGACATTTGAATTGTGAAAAATACCTTCATCCAGCAAACTCTATGTTGAATCAAGAAATAGGGGCTTGTATTAGCTTGAATGCTTGAACACATTTAATGTAGCCCCTGCTTGACTGCCATTTGGACCTTGCTGTTTGCTCAGTTAAGATTTTTAATTTGTTTAATTAGTATTTTAAAAGCCTATGAAAATTTGTGAATGAATATTTGTGTGTCTTTGTGTGTTTGCACAGACACACACAGTGAATATTTGAATTATGTGCGAATCTAACATCCTGCATCTGAGATTAATGCATAGAAATCATAATTTTACTAATATAAATAAATATAGTGGAGAATAGACTTTTGAATGTAGCTCCACTATGTATAGTCATGGTCATGACTCTCATTTTGCAGTCATTTTAATTAAGTTGGACTATAAAGTTAGTCTTGCATGGGGGATAAATACACTGGGGAGTTGGTGATAGATTGATGGCTGCCCAAGGAGTAAAACAAGTAACTCTGATGTTCTCTAGCAAAATTGAGATCTATGTACATGCAATTGGTCAAGCATGGGTGGTGATGCATATTTTACCAGTTCAGATATCTGCTAGTTTATTTGGGGAATCAAGGAAGGGGTCTGATGATAGCTATTTCAAAGTGATTTTCTATTTTAGTTTTTCAGCTTTCTGCTGTGGATAAATAGCAAAGCAACTGAAGTCATAAATTTTAATTAATATCTGTATCATTTTGGTTACTGCTAGCTTAGTAGAGCAATTAGTGTAATTAGTAAACAGCATAGCTTGGTGGCATGATAAATCACAGTTAGGAGCACGTTGTCTCTTCACCAGGATGATGTATTATCCAATTTACTCAAATTTTATGTGCGCCCAAGGAAATCACAAAATAAAAAGAAGCATTCCAACAGCTGTTGGCAGTCTTTGGTGGCTCTTGGTCAGTCTTCTGTCTGTCTTCCCAAATATTTTTAATTAGTCAAAAATGTCTGCTAATTAAACATTTTATTTTTAACACTTGTGGATGTTATTAAGAACTTGTACAAAAGGGACAGAGGAAAGGAATGAAACTTTTGTGACAAGACAAGGGAAATTTAAGTTTGCACAATGGCCATCTTGCAGACCCCATCTACCAGTGTGATCACGTATATCAGTTTTCCATATGTGATACAGGAACCGCAAAATAAAATGTTCCATGGAAATTATTTATTATGCATTGGAATAAAAGAAGCAGTACCATCTAACATAGTAGATTTGATAGATATTCTGTTTTAATACAAACAGTTGATTTTAAAAGATTTTCATTGTGTTCATTGTCCTCACTGCCTCATCCTGGTGGTGAGGACCCTCAGGGGGACAGAGGACTCAGGCACTTGGGTGAATACCAACAGCAGGAGTGGAACTAAATCCTGTGGCTGTCACTTGACCAGCCACATGGATCAGTGGCCATACTGGCAGTCTCCATTACCTTCCTTCCAGGACTCAGGACTGGAGCGGACTGGTCTTTGCCTGACTGCTGAGATGCTGGGGCAGGTTTAGGAAAACATCACTTTGGACTCTGGCTGTGTAGAGGAGAAAATCTGGGAGTTCTACTAGCTGATACTATTTCGGAGGAGGAGGCACAGTGGGGTTGTGCTGGCCTCCTGCCCTCATGTGAGAGACCGGGGGAGGGGGCTGAGCTCAACTTGCTGGGCCTGTTGAGTGTGGGTCTTCCCCGGTAACACAGGTGAGAGTGGGGTGACGGGGAGGGGAGGGAGAAGGAGAATTAGAGTGTTTTGTATAGATCGGAAGGAGGAACTGGCACAGGCACTGAGTACAAGCATTGGGTACCCTCCTGCTAGGAATGGAAGGTGCTGGAAAATGTAGTTGTTTTGGGATGGGCCCATTAGCTTTCAGGGCAGGAAGGAAGTGGGTGGGATGGGATGGGATGGGATGGGATGGGATGGGATGGGATGGGATGAGATGGCAGGT